GGCAGCCGGATAGCTGAAGGCCTACGAGAGGCAGCTGGACAGAGGGCGGGTAGATTGGGGGGCAGCTGGATAGAGAAGGGGGGCTGGGAGGCAGCTGGGGGGGCAGCTGGGGGGGGTGGGGACCTGAGGCGATGGGGGTGGCCTGGACAGAGGAGAGGACAGTCGGACAGAGGAGAGGACAGTCGGACAGAGGTGGGGCTGGAGGGGCAGCCGGACAGAGGAAGGGGTCCGGGGGCAGCTGCATAGAGGAATGCCTGGGGGGGGCAGCTGGACGGACAAAGAGCAGGGAGATCGAGGGGGAAGGAGGACAGAGGAGGGGGGCTGGGGGTAGCCTGGAGAGGGGCTTGGGCCAGTGTTGAGGCTGGGAAAGGCTTGGGGCCATCACATCCACCGCCCGCACCTGGGGGAGGAGGGGGCGCCGTACCTGGCAGTCTCGGAGCGAGGCCAGCGAGGTCATCGTGAGTCCTGCAGCTAGAGAGATCCAACATTGACTGGTGCCACTTTTTATCATTTTTGTCAATTTGCAGGGTTTGAGGTGAAACCTCAGGGTTGTTCAGATTTGCATTTCTCTTATTATTAGTGATTTGGAGCACTTTTTTATTTGGTTGTGAACACTTTGCAGTGAACACTTTTGAGACCTGTTTGACCACTTACCTATTGGGGAATGGTTATTAGTCATATATTTATAAATTATATATCTTGGTTATCAAACCCTTATCAGAAAAATTTGATACAAAGATTTTTTCTGCCCACTTAAACTTCTTATCTTAGATGCATTAATGCTGTCTGTACAACAGTTTTTCAGTTTCAGATAATCAAAGTTATCTATTTCATCTTTTGCAATCGCCGCCATCTCTTGTTTGGTTAAGAATAAATCTCTTGCCCATAGATGTGAGAGGAATATAATGTTTCTCTTCTAATTTTTCTATGATCTTTAATATTAAGGTTTTGTATCCAGTTAGAATGTATTATGAAGTGTGGTGTAAGGTGTTGGTCCACGCCTAGCTTCTTCCTGGCTGCTTTGCATTTTCCCTGCAGTTTTTATTAAACAAAGAGGTTTTCCCCTTGGTAATTTATGTTTTCAAGTTTATCAAACATTTGGTTATTGAGTTCTATTGTCTCTGAGTCTCCCCTGTCTAGACTGTTCCAGTGATCTCTCTCTCTTCTTTAACCAATACCAGATGATTTTAATGATGGCTGTTTTGTAATATAGTTTGAGATCCGAAACTGCTATTCCTCCTTTATCCCTGCTTCTTTTCATCACTTCCCTTGAGAGTCTAGATTTTTTGTTTTTCCAAATGAATGTTGTTATTATTTTATCAAGCACTGTAAAGTATCCCCTTGGTAATTTGAGTGCTGTGATATTAAAGGTGTAAATTAATTTTAGTAGTATTGTCATTTTTATTTTACTGGCATGGCCTAGCCATGAGCACTGAATATTTCTCCAATTATTCAGTTTATTTTTTATTTCTCTAAAGAGCACTTTGTAACTGAATCTATACAAGTCTTTTGTGCACTTTGGGAGGTTGGGAGACTGGATCTCCAGCTATTTTATGTATTTTATCCGCATTTGGAATGGAATTTCAGTATTATTACTTTTTATGTTTTGTTATTATTAGATAGAAATGCTGTTGATTTATTTTATAGCCTGCAACTTTGCTAAAGCTATTGTCTCAATTAGTATCTTTCCTGATTCGCTAGGATTTTCAAAGCAAACCATCATTGTCAGTAAATAAGGATAGTTTTATCTCCTCTACACCTAGATTTATTTCTTTTGTTTCTTTCTCTTGTGTTATTGCTATTGCTAGCATTTACAGAACTATATCAAATAATAGTGGGGGAAGTGGGCATCCTTCCTGTTTCTTCTTTTTTTTTATTTTTACTCTGGACATAACAAACACCAAATAAAATGGGTATTTCCATGTATACAGTAGAATAGAAAAAAGAAGATTGTGTATGAAACTGCATATATCTGTTATGTATAGCTTGCTTTTCTTTTAAAATACATAATAAATGTAATGTATCACTCTCAAAGTTGTCCTACCTCTCTGTGTTTCCTTCTTTGTTCTTCTGTTTCCACCGAGTAGCCCAGTGCTGGTCACATGCTAGATTCCTAGTAAATGTTTATTGACTGACTTTGCATTTTTTTTAAAAGATGCCTTAAAGAGACTGTTTTCTTTCTTTTCTTTTTGCTGTCCCATTCCTACTTCCTCTCCCCCTCCCCCTCATACCCTCACACCATTGGAAAAAGCAAAAAAGAAAACAGTTGCAACAAACATATAGTAAAGGAAAACAAATCCCCACTTTGGCCATGTCCAAAAATATACATCTCAATGGCACCCTGAGACCATTACTTCTCTGTCAAGGGGTGGGCAGCCAGCTTCATCACCAGTCCTCCAATCATGGATGGCCATTGCATTGATTGGAGTTGTTTTTGCCTTCAGAATGGTTTGTTTTTACAGTGTGGTCATTATTGTATACATTGTTCTCCTGGTTCTGCTCATCCAACTCTGCATCAGTTCATGCAAATCTTCCCAAGTTTCTCTGAAACCATCTTCTTCGTCATTTCTTATGGCATCTCATTTACATGCCATAATTTGCTTAGCCATATCCCAATTGATTTCCAGTTCTTTGCTAAAACAAAAAGAACTGCTATAAATTTTTTTTTGTTTTTAAATGAAATTTATTTCAATGAACAAAAATCCATTTTCTCTCCCTCCCACTCCCTAACCGCTTTAAAAAACCCAAACCAAAATCCCTTGTAACAAATATACAGTCAAACAAAATCAACTTCCTCATGGGCCATGTCCATAAAAAAGTCTTATTCTGCACCCCATCTCTGTCAGGAGGTGATAGCATGTTTCCTAGTGGGTCCTTGGTGGACTGCTCAGCTGGGTTTGCCGGTGGGGGAAGGGTCTCTGAGGCCCCCTCTACTCTCCAGTTCCGTTTCTCAGTCTGTAGGTTGGGGGCTCCACTCCCTGCTCGGTGTAGAAAAAGCGGCAGGATAGGCTCTTGGATTTCTGAGGTTTTCCTTCTTTGCTAGTGTAGACCCGTGGGGTGATGACCTCGCGGGCTTCTGAAGTCCTCAGTTTTTCCTTGGTGGAAATGGGCGCTGGGCTCGCTGGCCAGTAGGTGCTCTGGACTGCGAGACTCGGAGAGAACGAGTCTCCTCCAGACACATACCCGTACGCACGCACGCACACTCGCGCGCACTCTCTCACACACTTGTCGCGGGGCGAGCGATAGAGGAGCTGCAGGTGGCGGACGTTGGCCCCACGCCACGGGTCGAGCGGAGCCAGCCCAGGTGGGAGGATGCTGCGCCGAGGAGCAGTCGCTCTCTTCTCGCTGCTGCTGCTGCTGCCGCCGCCCCCACTTCCCAGGCGCTGCCCCAGCGCTGCCCCTGCTCCTCCACCTCCAGCCCAGCCAGCGTCCAGGCAGCGCCTCCACCCATGCCTCCAAGCTCTCCTTTCTTCCTCCCGCGGGTCTCTTTCCAATTTAACCCCAGCCCCTCACCCAGAATCCTATTTAGGGTTCCCTTTAGGCCGGGCCCCTGAGCCTGACCGTGGCCCTGACCCTGTGGCCTCCTCAAGTTGGGCCTCCAAATGGGACCTGACTCTAGGCCTTGAGTTAGCCCCTAAGCCCAGCCTAGGCTCAGGTTGCCAGGGCGCCCTATGCCCTCGCCTGGATCCCCATTTAGAACCCAGATCAGGTCCCACCTCCATTCCTGGGAGGCCTGCTGAGGCTGCCTTGCTTCACATCCTCAGTGCAAGCTCCTCTCCCCTGTCCCAGAGGCCCTCTGGGGCCCTCCACCTCTCCTGGGGTCTCAAGTCCATAGGATCCAGGCTAACCTTCAGGCTGTATCAGCCCCGGTGCCGTGTCCTCTGCCAGGCCTGGAAAGTGACCTGCAACCCTTATCTTGAGGCTGGTGGCATCTCCTGCATCCCTGGCAATACTCATGGCCAGGGGGACCCCAGCTGGACACTGGCCCACCTCCCTTTGCCAGGCTGGGGATGGGACTGTGGGGCCTGCCGGGTCATTGGTCAGGCCCCGGAAGGACACCTGCACCTAGTCAATAGCAGTCTAAGCATCCGAGTGAGGGGCAGTACTCTGAGCCTGAATCTCCAACAGGCCCAGACGGGCTCCTATGGTCCTGGCATCTATTACTCCAGGGCAGCCCCAGGCACAGGCAGTACCCAGCAGTCCCAGAGCCATCTCCTTTTTTATCAGCAGCAAGGCCTGTCCTGGCTGTTCGCCTTGGATTTTCTGGGGAGT